ATAACAATAAGCATTGAGCAAGTAAATATTAATAGACAGGCATTTTACTTTAAAACAATCTAACTTACCATTCTTCTCATAAGTTCAGCAAAATTATTATCTTGACCTTCAGTTGAAGGCATATCACTAGTAACAGTTGAGTCAGCATTGGTAGTTRTATTGGCATTTGGTGTTGGAAAAAAAGACTGGCCRCCCAATGATCCACCAATATTTGGCATGTTAGTACGTAATGCTTCAAGTCCTCTTTGTATTTGATCAAGAGCAGATAACACATTTGGATTAGTGGACATATCTTGAACTGCAGGGTTTGACATCTGTTGTAAGAATGCTGGCATCATACTACGGAATTGAGACTAAAAAGAAAAATGTTTTTTTTTTTTTTAAATTCAATTTTATATAATTTTAACATTTATTATTTTCTTACCTGAAGTTCTGGATTATTAGCAAGCAATGGATTGTTACTTAACAAGTTGTTGGCCATATTAGGGTTGCTAGTCATTGCCTGCAGAGTTGATTGGAAATATGGAGTATTCATGATGCCTTGCATAATTTGTGGATTTTCAATCATTTGTTGCATCATAGAGTTCATTGCTTCACCATTAAACAACGACCCTCCAGTTCCACCAGTTGGAAGATTACCTGATGTTGGTGCTGCTCTTCCATTAGAAGAATCAGATTGGTTTGTTCCAGTAGAACCACCCCATGGATTTGGCAAAGGATCACGATTTTCCTGTCCTTGTTGAGGATTTTGTTCTGAAATAAAATACATTATATAAAATTAAAATAATTAATTATAAATAAATACAGTTGCAATGTAGTGCATTCACCTGTTAAATTTAATATAGCCTAAGGGAAGACATCATGGATCACAACATTACATTTTTATAATTGATAACATTTATACTATAACCAAGTTTAGATCTAAGAAAATATTAATAAAAATAACATATACACAGGGTGTAACTGGAAGACCTGACAAATTAAATAACTTTTGTTTTAATTTTTTTATACGTATAATATTTAAAACACTTGCACTACATAATACCTATAAAAAATTTTACTTTTATTTTTTTAATTATTTTAACTGAAAATAAAAATTTTAAATCTACATTGTTTTTAAATATTGTACTTAATATCATTTAACCAGAACAATTTGTTATATTTTATAAAGTATTTATTATTACCGCCACCACTTTCACTAGGAGTTGCAAATGTATTTCGGCTAAATTCTTCAGTGGCTGCATTCATAAATGGTTCTTGAACATCTCTATACATTCTTTGTAAAGCACTAAAACCACCAGGTATTGATTCCAAATTTGATAAAGCTCTATCCTGTGTACGCATCAGTTCTTGCAACATTGATGGATTCCGAGCCATCTCCATTGTTTGACGTAACATTTCAGGATTGTTTAACATATGATTAATCTCAGGATGCCTCTACAAAAATATAAAATTAAATAGAAAAAGCAGGCAAGAGGAAGTAGCTCTAATGTTAAGTAGTT